ACATGGATCTTTTCTTTCAACATTTTTGTCTTAAAATCTAGGGAATGCCAGTTATATGACAATGCTTAGCACATCCTTCTTGGGTTATTAAAAACTCTGAGATGATCCTATTTTCCCCCAAATCTTGTCACTTCAACCAGTTAGAGAAGCTACTACCCGTGTTTCCCCGAAAATAAGACATCCTCCAAAAATAAGACCTAGCACAACTTTTGGGAGAAAAAATTAATATAAGACACTGTCTTATTTTTGGGGAAACGGTAATTTCTTGCATTTTCTTTGTCTTCTTCAAGATTAAATAGAAGACAAGACAAGCATTTTATCAACTCTAAGCTGTTAGCATCTGCTAAGTTCTAGGGTGTTTAAAGAAATTTATGTGTATGGCTTTATCCCCTTTTAGGACTGAACTGAGAGATATCTTTTGTTAGCTTTTGCAAGTCAGGTCTGTTGGCTGAAATAGTTTATGCGTGGGAAAAGATGCTGAAGTTTCCCCCACAACAGATTTCTCTCTGCAGAAGGTTAGGCCACATTTTTACATAGCTTTTATATTATACACTAAATATGGAGATTGTGTTGAAAGAAAAGTAAGGTAAGAAAAAGAATTTAAAACAATACCATGTTTTGTTTTTGTTGGCAACCTTTAGTAACTGTAGTTTCTAACAGGCTTTTAGAATAACTTATTTTGAAGAATGCTAGTTTAGTAGCAAAGACCACATTTTCTTTGAATGTAAGTTTGCTTTGAAAATGACAATCTAGTGATAAAAATTTTTCATTTTCATAATTTGGAGGTCAGGTGTTCTTTGCATATTTATTTTATGTACAGTAAGTTCATATAAAAAAAGCATGCATTGAATAAAATTACATTTTTATTTTCTTAATGTTAAATAGTGGATAAAATATTACATTTATAAGAAATTGATTCCTTTCTTTGGGCTCAGGAGAGCAAAGTAGGAGCTTTTCTGTGGGACTAAATTATTTTTTCTTACAGTCATCTTAAATGTATTCCTCATACTACTTAAATATGCAGATTTGTCACAATATGCTATATCAAGGGAGAGAACTACAAATTTTCTTAATGTCAGTAGAATCATTGAGCACAGGTTATTCCTGGCTTATAAATCTACATTGACAAATCATCTCTATTTAATGATTAATAGAGGGGTCATGTCCATAGAAAATGTGTGTGGTAATTTTGAAATCAAAATATAGAGTTTGATTCCATTAGAAATGTACAATGAAACATATGAAAATGATTCAAAATTTAAATTGGATGGAAGAATTGATGGCTTTTGGGTAAGGCAGGAATAGGCACACATGCTTCTATAAAAGGAGCAGTCAAACACGGTGGTACCTATTTCTGTCGATGGAAATGTGCTTTCTCAGCCGACTACACCTCCTTTCCACCCAGCCATGCACTATGAATTACAAACTATGCTCTGAAATTACTATTACTACAACCACAGTGAGGACATGGCTATGGGAATCACAGAACCAGAAGAACATGAAAGGGACCATCTTTTCTGGATCCACAATTACAGGGTCATGCATAAGAAAGCTCTTCCATACAAATAGCTCTAAGCTCTCTCGGTGAAGGCGTCCATAACTAGAAATGCACAATCCTCCCTGGCAGCTCTTTCCGACCTTTGATCATGGACACACCACCTACGTTACTTCTCCATTCCTCCCACAGCTCTACCACATGTCATATCGTGTTCCTAGAAGTGGCAGAGTTTTTTGTTTTGTTTTTTTAATTGTGTTATTTCTTTTTTACTTTTTCTGTGGATGGTCGCCCTCAAGAGAGGAGAGTTCTAGTCTAAGTTGCTCAAATCTCTAATAGTGGTTGACCCTTCCTGCTCATTAAACTATGTTAAGTTGTTGGAAGAAAGTTAGAATGTCAGAAGAAAGATCAAAATGTTCTACCATATGTCTAGCTGAAATACCTTCTGCTTTCAATTAAGTCCATCTCCTGTTGTTCAGTGTTGGACAGATAAGGGTAAACAATGATACCACATTCTTCAACTATAATCCCTTCATGTATTTGAAGAAAACTATTGAGGACAGTTACTAGGCAATAAATCTTACTTTACTTTTAATTCCCTTTAGAAGAAACAAAGCAAAAAGATAAACAACATAAAAAAAGCTTTAATTGATGATGACAGAGAACTATAAATTATTAGTTTCAAAGAGTATTGAAATCCCACTGCTTAAAAGAGACTATTTTAAATAGGCAACAAGTTCAAATTCAATTTTTTTTTAAAAAAGGAAATCATTAGATGAGAAAGTGGTTCTGAGAGAAAATATGACAGAGAAAATATAGAGGTGATGGGGAGGAGCTAAGCAGACGTAAGGCCCACGCAGTACTCACATTACCTGGACTGTCACATGCATCCTTACGCTCTCCAGCTCTTAGCTATCTAAATTCCACACATGAGCTTTGTAGACTGAAGAGCTTTGCAAGATCTGGATTCTTTCAAAAGGATATTTGATAGGGTAATGGCGTTTGTTACAAAGACACATTTACTTAGACTATTCCAGCCCAAGCAATGGAAATTTTCCCTCCCCAAACGTGTGTTTATTGGTGAGTAAGAAGCGGGTCCAAGAATGATTATGGATGAAAGAACATGACAAAGTACACTCATTTGAAGCAGAAATAAAACCATAAATCTGAGCAATGAAGTTTTCACATCAACAACTAAGAGGTGCATTATTCTCTTTTCTTTGCTCTACGTTTTCATTACTATGACAGAGCTATGAACATATTGGATGCTCTTCTAAGGAAACATTTGAAAGATTTTATTGTTGGTCTCTCATGTGCTGTATTTATTTGGTAAGAAAAATTATCTGTAAAAATAGACACGAGGAAAATGAATGTGCTTCGGTATTAAAATGGGCAGGGAAGTGGACAATCAAAAGTCTTTCTGTCTTTGTATCGAGTTTCTGATAATTCCCTTCATGGGATGAGGAAGGTAATAAAAAGGAAAAAAATTCTCTCTGGAAAAAAGTTTAAAACCCAATATACTTGTGCTTGCATTGGCAGCCCATATACTAAAATCTGCCATTAAAAAAGTATTCTAAATTTCTAACAAATGGTTTAGGGAGGGGGGTCATAAGATTACATAGAGAGGACTTTCAACTGTTCGATGAGGTTAAATGTGATGCCAAATGGCATGTGTCAAGCTTAAGAAGAAGGCTGATAGAGGCAGAATCATACTGGGCTGGCATCGATAATACGAGAGCTGGTCTCATGCCCAAAAGATGTTAATATAAATGGAGTGGCTGGGGTCGATGGAATGTCATTTGGCTGTAGTATTAATGGAGATTTGGGTATGGGGGGTGTGGAGGATGGATGAAGGTAAAAAGACTTCTCCAAAACCTTCTCTCCATACTCTTTTGTGCTGTTAGTTGATGAGAAAAATGTCAAACTAATGATTCATTTCATCGGCTTCCAAATTTGAAAGCAATTTGAAGGTTACAAGATGGTTATTCATTCATTCATTCATTCATTCATTCATGCACCATGTGCAACAATCTACTGCACTGGATGTTAAGGATGAAATGATGGGCATTAATTTACTTTTGTTTTCCTTATGTGCAAAGTGAAGATTAGAGTTCCTTTCCCTACTTATGTCACTGAGTTTGGAGTTTAAGTAAGACAGTACAACAAACAAAATAGCATGTAATAACAATGTGAACAGTATCACAGTTTGGGAAGAAATATGTTAGGTTTAAACAGTTTTTTTTTTCCTTACTGAATGAAAAGGTGTTTTATTGTAGAATAAGACAGAGAATCAGAACAGTTGAAGGTGGGAGTTGTAGCTATTCCATCAAGAGAAGGGAATAACACTAAAGGGAATAAAACTGTGAGGAGAAACACTGGGCAAAAAGCTTCCTTTACAATTTTGTTTAGTGCCAACTCCTTCTCTGCCAGAGCCTATAACTTCCTCAAGCCTCATCATTTGCCAGTGGGGTTAGCTTAGCGCTTCCCAGACTTCAGTTACTTACCTATCAACTTTGCAGTTTTTGCCTTATCTGCTTAGAACTTTTATTAATACTTAATAGAAACAGTTTTCTTCAAATCAATGATTTGTTAAATATCGAATATTGTGAATACATGTTAACATGCAAAGTTTTAACATTCCTTTAACTAGAAAATCAGTACCACGTGCTATAATAAAAGGTAGATATGAAGCTCAATATAATTGAAACAGAATCACTTTATTTCATTCTAGGAAGGTGCTATTACCTGGCCAAGGCCTGGAGCCTGCGAAGAAAGTTTTGTATTTTTCCTTGCTAAGAAGGGTAATTATTAAGAAAGTGCAGAGGAATCATTACAGACACACTAGCATCAAATTGAGAATTTTCCTTTTACAAAAACAGAGCTGGAAAAGTACTAAAAAAAAGTGAAAAATGGATTAACTTTCTTACCCAGAGATACATTCTTATCTAATGGTATCTCTTACATCAGCTCCAATGTCTTCCAGAGATCAACAGCATATAATGCAAAGTCCTGTATAACTGTTCTTAATTGTATGACGTTAGATTTAACTATACCTCTTTATTCTTCTTATTCCATTTCAACAAAATTGTCAATGAACTCTCCTATGCAGTTGCAAAACATTTTGTAAGATTTTCCCCCCTTCCCCTCCAGTATGCTGCATTATCAAATTGTTGTTCATTCCACTATGGCACTATGGGTATCAGTATGATTATTGGGTAGGTAGAGTAACTGGGACTTTAAGAGGCTAAAGAATGTATTCAGGATGAATCTTAGCCCACCCCCTCTTAGGTATTGGGGGGGGAAGGGGTTGTGGAGGCAAAGGCCTTACTGTGCTGGCAGCATCTTGCAGAAGGACTCATGGGGAATTAGTGGGCAGAACAAATGCTCTCTGGGGACTTGCTCTTAAATTCCCCAACCAGAAGATCATAGTCCTCTCTCATCGATAAGAACCCTCAAGCCGCAAACCACTAAAACATAACGCAGAGAACGGCCCCACAGGACTTACCTCCTGTGAGCATGAGGGCGCATTTGCATAGACAGTTGTCATTATCGGCATCTTTAGTGCTGAAATCAGCACCATGTATGACCAGGCTGCTCTGCTGTCCTGCTGTCCCACTGTGACCCTTTAAATACAACCTGCAGTTAAAAGGGGGGAAAAAAAAAGTAAGTAAGAAAAAGAAAGATAAGCCATTTAACAGAATAAAAAAAAAAAACCAGAGGCCATGTTTGTTGAATGTATGCCTTTTTCATTATTTTTCCCCTTCTTTTCTTTTAGGGAACAATTCCACGCCCCCCTCCTCCCCCAGAAAACATTAGGAACCATAAAAACCAAGCTCAATATTTGGCAGTACCAAAAGCAAAATACAACTAAAAATAACATTTAGACTTCATGGTTAACCTTAGAGAAACATGCTTTAAAACACCAGGTTTAACACTCTCTTGCACAGAGTAAAACAAGTTCACTCCACCACGCTGAGATGGACTTTTCAGAACTGACATGACTTTTTAAAATTAAAAAAAAAAAACAAAAAAACCCACCCAGTTCTAACCCTGGCATCATCATTTATAAAATAACATGTTCAAATGTTCCTGAAAATAAACAGCTGGTAAACCTGAAAACAAATCTTTCACAGAGTGAATTCAGATTCCACAGGATCTAGTGCATGAGAGCTGGGGAAGGAAGGCTCTGGTCCCACTCAGCTCTTACCAGATACAAACAAATACAAAAGAGGTTCAAAATAAACGACTCCACCAAATTCTGTAGAGGAGCAACTTCCTTTCACAAAGGAAAAGGAACCCAGTTCCACAGAGTTGTGTGTTTTGGAAGCACAGGCCAATTTTATTCCCAGAATCCCAGTGTCTTGCACTATTGAAATAAAAGTGATTTTTGTGCTGGAGTAAAGTCTAACGAAAGCACCAAAATTCTATCCTCTGAGTTTCCCCAAGGGATACCTACAATGCTCTTATCTTCCTTTCAATGTGATTTCAACCTATGAAGAAGTAAGGTTCTAAATATGTAAAGGTATGAGGAAGTTCCCACTCGTCTACATTAGCACAGCTCTGCCCTGCCTATTCTTTGTCTCTCCTAACCCCCTCCAGTCAGGTTTGCCAAGTGGGATCCCCTCTCAGAAGATTAAAAAAAATAGATTCCCATGCTCACTAGTCATTAAGCAAACATGGCCTTTGGTGCAGGAAGACTTAATATTTACAATACTTCCAAGCTTTTCATAATTTAAGAATCAACACATTGCCTAAAGCTTATTTCACAGCCCCTTAATATTTTAATCTGGACATTTTATTTTGTAACTCTCTTTGGTGTCTGTCTCTTCTGTTTTTTTTTTTTTTTTTTTTTTTTTTTTTTTTTTTTTGCAGTAATTTTGCCCTGGAGGAACCCTTGAGAAAACTTTCAAATGAAGGGACCCCTCCTGGTATGTGAGCTGTGAGCACTCAGTTGAAGGATACCATTATTTCCCCGGAAAGCCAGACCTGTCAGACTGGGACTGCCCGGGTTCTGTCTCTTCTCTCAGACAAAACCTCAGGCTGAAGCCTGAGAGAAGGCGTTTCTCTCCCAGCCATGCACACAGAGGGAAATGCTGTTTCATTTGGTTTTGCACTTCTTCAAGGGGAGTTTTAGTTAAGACTTGAGAGTTGTTCTTGTCTCTCTTAATTCTCAAGTCCCAGTGGCTGCAGAAATATTGCAAGAGTTCCTTTGGCAACATGATTGTTAGGCTCCATTTTTTAAAAAATTTATTTTATTGTTGACACTATCACAAACATCCTTCTTCCTCCTCCCTCACCTTTTCTCACCTCTACCCATCCCCTTCCCTCCCTTCTGGCCATCGCCACAAAGTTGTCTCTCTCCATGGGTTCTGCATATAGGTTCTTTGGCTACTCCCTTCAGAATTCATTTTTTTTAAAATCTAAGAATCTTGTCACTTTCAAGGAAAAAAATTAACATGTTCTCCAGGACCTTGCAGAAACTTGTTCTTTTGCGCGCGCGCGCGCACGCGCGCGCGCGCACACACACACACACACACACACACACACACACACACACACACACACACAAATGCTAAGTAGACTTGTTCCTGTAACCATTCTTCATCTTCACAGCATTTGGTAAATCTGGCCAGTATTTACTTGTTCTCACTTCCAGCACAAATGATTTTTCCCCCCTATGAAAGGTCCTTTACATTTGACTCGGATCCTTTGTGACTTGACTTGGCCAGTTCAGATTTAGCTCCTATCTCACCACTTACCTGTGTCTCAAATACTTGTTTGTCTACCCCAGCTCCTCACTACTCTCTGGTACCACCTGCTGGTCATTTTTTTCCTTCTGCTGGGTCATTTTGATTTGATCTTTCACCAGATTCCAATTTAACACCTTTCCTATGTTCTGCTTTGAGCTGCCTGCTTTGGGATAAGCTGTGCCAGGTCCTTAGTGCTTTCACCATGCCCTGAAGATTATATTTTCTAAACAACGTGCAGGCAACAGGCAGCTTTAATGATTTCTACTACCACGGTGTACTGCGGATTGGTAAAATCCACTTGTTTTCTGAATTGAGGCTTCCTAGGATTCCTGCCAATTTTTTGAAATAATTTTTTAAATATATTTTATTGAATTTTTACAGAGAGGAAGGGAGAGGGATAGGAAGCTAGAAACGTCGATGAGAGAGAATCATCGACCAGCTGCAACCTGAATGCCCCCTACCGCGGATGTGCCCGCAACCAATGTACATGCCCTTGACCGGAATCGAACCCCGGACCTTTCAGTCCGCAGGCCGACGCTCTATCTACTGAGCCAAACCGGTTTCGGCAATTCCTGCCAATTTTTTGATAACCCTTTTTCTATTCATGTGACTGTTATTTCAAGATTTATATGCAATGTGAAATGTACCTTGATTTGGAGCTTTATACCAGGGTTACTAAAAAGATACTTTTCACCCAGCTGGCATAGTTCAGTGTTTGAGCCTCAGCCAGGACAATGGTCGGCAAACTCATTAGTCAACAGAGCCAAATGTCAACAGTACAATGATTGAAATTTCTTTTGAGAGCCGAAAACCGACTTCTGCGCATGGGCCACGAAGTTTCAATCACACTGTATGTGTGTGCCAGCACATGATATTTTGTTAAAGAGCCACACTCAAGGGGCCAGAGAGCCGCATGTGGTTCACGAGCCACAGTTAGCTGACCACTGAGCCAGGAGGTTATGGTTCCATTCCTGGTCAGGGCACATGCCCGGGTTGCGGGCTTGATCCCAAGTGTGGGTCGTGCAGGAGACAGATGATCAATGATTCTCTCTCAACACTGATGTTTCTCTCCCTCTCCCTTCCTCTCTGAAATCAATTAAAAAATACATATATATTTTAAGAGGTATCTGTCCTATCTTCTAAGAAACCTTGCATGTGCGTGAGATCGGTAACACTGGAAGAATAATCTGGGTCTCCTTCCTTCCGTAGATGCTGTCGTGTAACAACTTCATTCTTCAGGGCAGCCACCATGTCACATCTTCTCCTCACTCCAGAGGGCTGCTGATCTCTGTCTGAAAACTTCTCAGGCCCATACAAGCCATTGCCATATTCATTGAGCAGGGTGCATGCTTCCCCCCGGCACTTGCCCCTTATTGGCATTGCAGATGCTGAGAATGCCCCGCAGCCTAGGTCCTAGATGCTGGGGTCACTGCCATTACAGCAGAGACACTGCTCTCAGAGTCCCCACTCCTGCTGGTGAGGACTGGAAGGCATGGAACCTAGTCAAGATATAATAAGTGGAAAGACAGGCTACAAAGCAGTATGTCCCATTTGTGTGTGTGTGTGTGTGTGTGTGTGTGTGTGTGTGTGTGTGTGTGGCTGTGAGAGAGAGAGAGAGAGAGAGAGAGAGAGAGAGAGAGAGAGAGAGAGAGAGAGAGAGAGAGGCTGGAAAAATATACAGAAAATGTTTAGAGAAGTTTGTCTGATTCAGGTAACTTCACTATCTTCATTAACCTTCTGTAATATCTGTATCTTTAAAACTAGTGTATTAATTTTATGATTTAAATCAATAGCAAAACGACTCCCATTTTAAAACCCCCCAAAATCGACATGAAAGTAGACCAGGATCTCTCCAGTAGCTTACCTGAAACAAGGGATTTATGAAAAATGTCTTTCTACTCTAGCTAGAAACTTCTTCAACCAGCATCTCAGGTTACTCTTCACAAACTGTTGAAGGATAGGCTTTTGAAGCATATCGGTCTAGAATTAAAAAGCTAGTACAAATCACACTCATTGCCTAATGTAGTTGATGTCTGCTCATTTCCTATAGATACTACACATCCTTTCATATCCAGCTGGGCACTCTAAACAAGCGCACACTTCAGTTGCTCCTCAGGGCTCAGAATCTCTAAGCGAGGGTTGCTATTAACTTCAGTTTGATACCTAAGGTCTTCTCTAGTCAAGACTTTACCCCTTTACCTATCTCTACCTAGTACTCTGTTCCTCTGACCTTATCAAAGTCATCCAGCAAGAGTCTCTACAAACCTCTGCATGTGACCACTTCTGTGTCACAGTCATATTTATGAATCCTATCCACCCACAGTACCGCTAATGAGTGAATAATACCTCTATTTGAGTGAGACACTACCTGGACCCAAGCCAGTTCTGGACAAAATTTTATATCATTATTGAACAGATATAATGAGAATCAATTACTCTTTAGAGCTATATGTATATATGTTTCCATTTGTGGTTGCACCTATTATATGTATATATCCATCATTATTTTTTGAGATTTGATATTATTTTTAACAAATGACAATACTATAGAATATTTGTGCCAAATGATTTTACAAATGTTCTACAGAGATTTTTTTTGAGCCAGAGCAAAAATATACAATAATTAAACCATAGTCAAGTTTCTTGATTTCGATGATTAGTTAACAGGAGGCTGAAGGGAGCGCTTCTAAGGCTGAATTATCACATGCAAGCTTGCATTTTAAAATTCTGAGAGGCAGGCTAAAACTCGATGGTGATACAAAACTATAGGAGCTTTTAAGGGCAGACTCACACTTTAGGTTTTGGGCAACCTATGTGGAGTGGGTTCACCAAGGAAAGGTAACGTGTCAAGCAATGGGAGTCCTAGGGCATGTTACCTGGGTGAAT